GCGGCGACGGTGACACCGGCAGTCGGAGCGCGGCCATGGAGCGCGGCGGGGAGAGGGGCTTCCTGCCGGCCTTCGCACACTTCGCCACGCAGGCCATCCACGCCGGGCAGGAACCCGAGCAGTGGCGCTCGGCCGCCGTGGTGCCGCCCATCTCCCTCTCCACCACCTTCAAGCAGCAGGCGCCCGGGCAGCACGCGGTGAGTGCGGCCCCCAGCCGGGACCGGCCCCCTCCGCCCGCCCGGCCTCAAGGGCACCGGCTCTGGGAGGGGGGGAGGAGTGGGTCGGGGAGGCGGCCGAAGGAAGGGGAGGGGGGCTGCCGGTTTGCAGCCCGTGGAAATATTTCCCCTCGTTCTAAAAAAAACTCACCCAAACATCTTTATGTTTTAATTTTTATTTTTTTTTTCGCGCTGGAGGGAAGGGGTTTTCCCGCCCCGGGCTGGAAGGCAGGTTTTAGGTGATTCTCAGTGTGAGGTGGGTGAAGGGGGGCACCCGGTGTCCCTCGGGCTCGGCAGCCCCGGCCCCGCTCCCACAGGGGCGCCCGGTGCAGGGAACCGGCCGTACCCCCGGCGGGACACACGGCGTGCGGTGCTGTCCGGGCATCCGGCAGCTGCCCTCAGGGCTGCGGGATAACAGGGGTTTGCTTTGCCCCAGGCAGAGTGCATTTTCTCATTTACAGCTTGTGTAAGGGGCTGCTTCACTTGTCCAGACGGAATGAATCATAGAATCACAGCATGGTTTGGGTGGGAAGGGACCTTAAAGCCCCCCCAGTGCCATCCCCTGCTCCAAGCCCCCTCCAACCTGCCCTTGAACCCCTCCAGGGATGGGGCAGCCACAGCTTCTCTGGCCAACCTGGGCCAGGCTCTCACCACCCTCCCACCAAACAAGTTCTTCCCCACATCTCAGCTCCATCTCCCCTCTGTCAGGGTCCACCCCTTCCCGCTCCTCCTAGGGCTCCCCTCCCTCATCCAGAGTCCCTCCCCAGCTTTCCTGGAGCCCCCCTTCTTGAGGGACTGGAAGGGGCTGGAAGGTCTCCCCGCAGCCTTCTCTTCTCCAGGCTGAACCCCCCCAACTCTCTCAGCCCGTCCTCCCAGCAGAGGGGCTCCAGCCCTCCCAGCATCTTTGGGGCCCCCTCTGGCCCCATCCAACAGCTCCATGTCCTTCATAAGATTTCATAAATGTTTTGTGAATATACCATACAAAGTACTGGAAGTGTTTGTGTTGGACTGTGCGCAAGTTTCTGATGCCTACCCTGCGTGTAGAAAGGAAATAACAGCTCACAAACCAGTATGTCTTCTAAAGCCGAGGTCTGAACATCACGATGTGCTGGTTGGGCAATAGGAATTCCCCTCGTGATCTTTGATTCCACACCAAATCAGTTACGCAGACTAAAATTGTGAATGCTTGTGAGTAGGTAGCTGTGCTGAAGAAGACCACAGGAGGAGGAGGCAGGCGCTGCTGTATTCACATGCTGATGACAGAGCGGCCACGGTCTTGCCAGAAGCTCCCTGAGAGCCATCTGCCAGGTTCCTGCATATGATGAAGTTGTCATTAAACAGAAATCCTGAAAGTACGCAAAGCCCAAGATGCTTAGCCAGGTTCTCTCCGTAACAAGTGCATCCCTGCATGCTTGAGTTTTTCTTTTTCTTGTTAAATTTTCTCAGTGTTCACATAGAAGCTGTTGTGCTGAAGTGTGGAACTTGGCTTGACTGCATGCCAGGGAAACATTTGAGCTTTCAGGAACTTTTAATGGGGAGAGAGGTTGGCACCGGCCAGTGCCCTGTGGCATCTTCCAAGCAGAGCGTTGTGGAGAAGGGACACGTTCTTGCTGATAAGAATGAGTGGACTGTGTCAGACCAAGGTCTTTTCTCCAACAGTGACCCGAGATGGATGTCTAAAAGAAGCCAGAGAGCGTGGCCAGCAGTATGATACTGCCCCCAGGAACCTTGTCAGGCTGGGGATGCCCAGTTGGGTGTTGTGGACACAGCTTGATGTAGCCAGAAAACCAGCCTGCGGCTCTCGGAGGAGGTGGATGCGGAACCTCAGTGCTGAGAGCGAGGACTTTTTAAGGAATATGGTACAAAGCTTTCTCAGTGCTCTCTCAAGTTTCTTTTTCAAAGGAATTTCTTTTCTTGCTTTCACACTAGGGCTATGAATACAGCCGGAGTGGAAACCCCACCCGGAACTGCCTGGAGACGGCTGTGGCAGCGCTGGACGGAGCTAAGTACTGTAAGCAATTAATATGTTCCTGAAGCAAGCTGTTATCCTGTGTGCTTCCTGACAGTGTCTACGGCAGATGTGACCTGGGGAGCAAGGACACGGAGCTGTCAGCAGAGGTTGTGTCACAGCAGAGCTTTCACAGCCACTGCCTGCTGGTTCAGAGTGTCCAAAGAGTCCAACACTTCTTGTTCTGGGAAGTCCAGCTCAATCACTGGACTTTCTGTAGTGATTTTGCTTCCTCTCGCTGGGTTTGATGCCCAAGTTAAGCTGAATCCATCCCTGGGTAGCAGCACTGAGGGTGGTGGGGCAGGAGGTGCTGCTGGACTGTGTCACCAGCGCTCATCCCAGGTCCCACCCCTGCAGAACCAGGCTGCTGCTTTTCCCAAATCCGTGGGTGATGGAACAGGTTCCTTTTGGAAGCAAAGTGAGGAAAGGGAAGGCGAGTTTGACAAGGTTTCTATATCACATTAAAATACCGTCTGTCTGCCACTTCTTCTCTGTTCTAGGTTTAGCTTATGCTTCTGGCTTAGCTGCTACTTTGAATATTACTCACCTGTTAAAGGCCGGGGATACTATCATCTGCATGGATGATGTCTACGGAGGTATGTAAAGCACAAGTGTGGTTTTGATCTTCATTGTGCAAATGATTAAACGCCCCTATTTGTGATTTTCATGAACTGTCTGAGTTTCCCACGTAGGACCTTACTTTTCTGTAAAGCCCTTTTCACTTCACGAGGGCACAGAACACTCCTCTCTGATTTCAGCATTAGAAATTCAAACACTTGAAAGATTCTGCAGCACGACGCGGAGGTTCATCCACCTCTGCCCAAGTCCTGCAGAAGGTTGATGCCACCCAAAAGCCCGTATTAGGGAAGCCTGCCAGGATAAGCTGTGACAATTGGTTAATTAATGCCCAGCTCCCATGTTTCACTTGTTTCCTTCCATCTGCTTCCCGGCCTTGCACAAGGAGATCAAATCTGCTTTGCTGTCAAAGGAGGGTTAGAGAGGGCAGCAACAGGTAGTGTTTTCCCAAGCAATAGCTGGAGAACCCTTTAGCAAGAGTAATCCCCTTTCCCACCACTAAGAGCAATGACTGTTTGCCAGTCAGTTCTCTGTGCTTGTTCACATCAAATGTAAATACACATGTTTGCTTTTAATGTCTCAGTTCTGTCATGCCAGAGAGCTCTTCTCCAGAGTTACCTCTGGAGCCGGGCTGAGGGAAGACAGCAGGAATCCCTGCTGACAACCTGCTCCTTTCACTCATGGCCCTCCCAGCGCAGCCCTTGGTAAATCGAAGTCATTTGGCCCAAGCTTATCATCAGTTCCTCACTTCAGAAAGGCCCATGGGTGTATTTTTCAAGCCAAACCAGTTCACCTGCTCGTTAAGGTGGTTTCGGCAGAGATGAATTTCATTGTTTCTTCCCTGAATTTTCTTTTCATACTTGTTTCTGTAAAGAGACCGGCTTCCCCACAGTCAGCCTCATTCAGGAGAGTTCACAGCCTGTGGGGTGGTACCTCCACAGATCTGGCACTGGCCACCGTGGCCAGTATGTGCCCAGCCCCTTCATCTTCCCAGGGGTATTAGGGATTTAGGGGGCAGGAAAAGATAAGGCCAAGCTCTGGGGCGGTGCTGGAAGGCGTCTTGCCTGGGGCAGGTTTAAGAGAAGCTGAGCTCTGGGAGGTGTGGGGAGGAGCTGTGGGTGTTTGACACCACTGAAGTCTGAGCTCTCGGTGTAACTCCTCAAAAGGGCAGCTTTTGGTGTAACCTCTCCTTTCCATCTAAGGGTTTTGCAGTGTGCTATTGTTAAAAGTACGTAAGATTTTTCTGTGGTTTGCATCTGTAGAGTTGACAGCCGATGTGATAAGATTTTTCTGTGGTTTGCATCTGTAGAGTGAAAACTTCCCATGCTTGAATAAGCTTCTTACAGCACAAGATAGTTTATGGTGTACAGCTTATTGTAGAAATAAAAGTGTTTTCTTTAGAAAAACAGAAATCATTCAGACGCAGCATTCAGCACGGAGACTTGTACCCTGCCTGGACTGTGACTTTACGGGTAGATGGAAACTGCTGTCCAGCATAAATGAGTAAATGTTGAATAACCTTGGCAAAAAGACCTGATGAATTAATTTTTAATCCAGGCAGCATTGCCACATAGTCAGTATGTTGCACATCTAGTGACCAACTGGTTGCATCTCATTTTGTCTTTTAATCTTTCCAAGGATAGGCTTCAAAGACAGAAAGAAAGGAAGTAATCACATAAGAAACACAGTAGCTGGAGTCTTCCCCTTGGTTCTTTTCCCAGATTCTCAATTAAGCTTATTAAATAGAAAAAAAAATAATTTGAAAATATGTGGTGGTAAAAAGTTATTAAAAGTGTGGTGGGGGAAAGAGGAGATAAAAACTGGAACCAGTAGCTTGTGCATGGCAAAGGGCTGGAGGAAAAGTTAGAAGCAGCCAAAGTGAAAGAGGTCTATTTAATTTTCTGATTTAAAAAAGCCCTGAACAGCTATTAATTGAAAGTACTTCATAAATCACTCTGATTCCATATTCCCATTATTACTTTCCCGTGATGTTTAAAACTACAGTAATCTGTAATCTTTTTAGAAATAAAAAAAATACTGATGTGCCATTTGAGGGCATAAAGCTGTGCCCTCCTGGCTCTCCCTGGATGCACACAGGGAAGGAAAGTTAAAGAAATTGTTTCATTTTGTGTCTCTGATTGTTTGTCTTGTTTGGTTGGCTTTTTTTAGGCACAAACAGGTACTTCAGGAAAGTAGCCATGAAAATGGGTTTGAACATCGTTTTTGTTGACTGCACAAAAATGGAACAGCTGGAAGCTGCAATTACACCCGAGACCAAGGTAGGTAGGGGAGAGGGAAATTGCTGAACTTAATGTGGTTAAATAATGTAGTTCTCTCTGTTGTTGTGCTGGGTGTATGTGTCAGGCAGAGGGGGTGCAGGGGTGACCTCGGTGGGGACAGGTCAGGGCACAGCTCCAGCCCCTCCCCGCTGCAGGCCACTGGGTGATGTTTGTGGTACCTCATTGAAAACATTTTAAGAAGGGCAAAAAACACCAGAGAGAGAGAGAGAGAACAAGGGAAAAGGTAAGAAACAGCAGAAGGAGGAGAAACAGGAGGAGGTGCTCCATGGCGCTGGAGCAGACATTCCCCTGCTGTCACGGGAGATAATTCAGCTGGGAAAGGCTTACAAACTTTTGGGTGTAAAGACCTTCTTCTGGCTGTGCCATCAGGTGTGGTGCACTTTGGGTTTCAAAAGCTTCAGTGTTCCTGGTGATGATACACGTGTGAAATCCCTAAACTGCCTCTTTCTGTTGGTGAATTACTGCAGCTCGTTTGGATCGAAACACCCACCAACCCCACGCTGAAGGTCATTGACATTCGGGCCTGTGCAGATGTGGTCCACAAGCACAAAGATGTTCTTCTGGTGGTAGACAACACTTTTATGTCTGCCTATTTCCAGGTAAGCACTGTGTTCGGTCACAGTTACCCAGTTATTTCAGTGCGTTCAAAGGGACATTTTTAAAATGGCAGCAGCACCAAGGAGCTGTAGCTTTGCTCTGTCTTCTGTGTCTAAATGTGTACTGTTGCTGTTCACCTGAGTAAAGATGGAAAGCAAAGTATTTTATAGCTGGCCATACACCAATAGGATCCCAGCAAGGCCAGTATAGCTCAGCAGTCAAGCAAACACACTGAATCAGGGCAGTCAGGGGAGCCAGGGGAGAAGGCTTCTCTGTCATTCAAAAGTTGTGTAGTTTTAGTTCTCACTGATGGAAATCATAACAGGCCTGTTCAAAAGTGTCCTGTTTCCTAACTTTGGCCTTTTGATAGCAATTCTTTGGTATATGCTGTTCACGATCTGTTCTGAGCCGCTTAATATTCTAAAAAAGGTAGTGGAAGAAAAAGCTAAAACAGGCAAACTTTGTTAAATCTTCCTTTGAGACATTCAAGTTACCTTTTCCTTCGGTGTGTTGGCTCAGAAGTTTGTAATTTTGATCTCGAACAGCTGGCATAACTTTTCTGCTTTTATAACTAGAATACAGGAGTGAAGACAGTTCCTTAAGTTCTAAACATGCTTTGGAATAATAAACTCCAAAGTTTTGTCCACCTTAACATGGCCTAGAAACAGTCATGTGGATTTCCCAGGAGTGACCAAGCTAATTCCTTGTATTTAAGGTCTAAAGTAAAACTTTTTTATGGGTGCAAAAGGCCAGGTGTCTTCGTTTTCGTTAAGGGCACTGAGATCTCCATAATAAATGAAGAGAGTTTTACAGAGGGCGTTAATGCTTAGCTAAAGCAGCACTTGGGTTTGTCTCCTACGTGCCAAAGGCCTGGTGATTTCCCCCCCGCAGTGTTTATTGCTTCAGAAAGAGGTGTGTGGAAGGAGAGGAGCCAGCATCCGGATATACGAGCTAGTTAATGTATCTTTTATTGGCCTGCTACTAAGACAAAGTCAGTTGCAATGATTAATTCCACGTAAGCATAATAGGTAATGTCTCTAAACCCCTCCAGGCTGCTGGTGCTGCACTCAGAAGATCATCATTCCAGACTGTGGCAATATTGAGTGTATGAGACACGGTGTTTGTGCTGCCCTTCTCCTGGCTGCGCGCTGGGAATGCACGTTATCCACTTTCCTCTAATAGATGGCCGTGTTTAATGGGACAGCAGTGGGCTTTTATTCCAAGTCTGCTTGCTTTGGTACCTTTAAACAGATTGACACTCTTCAGTCTTTGCAGTAGAATCATGGAATTGTCTGGGTTGGAAGGGACCTTTAAGATCATCCAGTCCAACCATCAGCCTAACTCTGATAAAAACCATCACTAAACCATGTCCCTCAGCACTATGTCAACCTGACTTTTAAATACCTCCAGGGATGGTGCCTCAACCACTGCCCTGGGCAGCCCATTCCAAGGCTTAATAACCTTTTCCATGTCAAAATTGTTCCTAATATCCATTCTGAACCTCCCCTGGTGCAACTTGAGGCCATTTCCTCTTGTCCCATCTCCTGTTCCTTGGGAGCAGAGACCGACCCCCCCTGGCTACCCCCTCCTTTCAGGGAGTTGGAGAGAGCCAGAAGGTCTCCCCTCAGCCTCCTCTTCTCCAGGCTGAACACCCTGTTTGAACACATCTCAGTTTGCCTCCTTAGCCACCTTAGCAAGGGGTCTGGGAGGAAAGCTGGGGGTCAGGGAACAGAAACCTGGCAAACAAAACCCTTTATTCTTTCTTCAGTTTTCGTTGTTCTTTCAGTGCTGTATCACAAATACTGAGCGCTAGAAAACAATGCCTTTTTTTTTCGCTTTGCAGACTGTGTTGAGGTCTTCATTTTTTAAGGAAATATACTGCAAATACCATTACTTATCCCTGCCTCAGCTAAGCAATATCTCTATTTTTGTCACAAATCTGAAGGGGCTGTGTGCTGGAGGTATTCAATCACTCCTCTGGTATTCAATCACTCCTCTCCTTGAAGCCGGTGGGAATTAAACTGGTGCTTTTAAATCACATTTTATTGTGGGTTCTTTTTATTGTGCTTATCTTGAATTGAGAGTGCTTTCCTGTACTGTTGTTTTTGTCACATATTCTATCTATCTTCATTCTCAGGTTTTTGTGTTTAAGGTACTTTGTATTAAGTTTTTGTGGTTTTGTTTCTTTGTTTGTTTTTTTGTTTTGTTTTGTTTTGTTTCTCCACCTGCTGTTAGTTTCTATGCTGGATCACAGCCTTTCTGGGTAGCTTCAGATGGACCAGAGCACGCACAGTCTTTAACCAGAGCTATTATTTTTATTTTGTTTCAGCGTCCTTTGTCTCTGGGGGCTGATATTTGTATGTATTCTGCAACCAAGTACATGAATGGTGAGTACATGAGTTTGACACAATGCAGGCTGGCTATTTAAAAGCCATTCTGGCTACAGGCACATCACAAACCCCACTGTGTCTGCTGGTAACTCTGGGATGGACCTTTAGAGGAGATGGAGCATTGAAGAGCCCATTACCCTTCATAGCTCCCAAACTATCCCTGCGAGAGGGATTATTGACCTGACTTCCCACCCAGAGGTGTTTAGAGCCGTGTTGGCTTTAATTTGGCTACAAAACAAAGCAAGTGGCTCCAGGTACCTGCCAGAAATTCTGTTGGGGTTCAAAGGAGGTTTCATACGGCTGTTGGAGCCTGTTCCAAAGCACCTTCACCGTGGTGTTTCCCAAACAGCCCAGATTCAGAGCCAACGTGACTGTAGCTGTGCTGTAGCCACATGTCCCTGGATGGAACTGGAAGTTTTCTGGCTGGTGTGACACAGGACACACGTAATTCCTGTAGGATGTCCCATGGCAGTGGGCTTGGGACGTGGCTGGGGGCCTGGGTGCAGCACACAGCAGAGCACCCTGCTCACCAGAGCTGTAGAAAAAGCTGAAATCCTCCTTACAATTCAGACACTGCCCAGGAAGGACGGCTGTAGCCGTGAGAAGGAACGTGCTGTCTCTCAGAAATGGGACTGTATCGGCACCAAGGCTGAGAAAATGGGGGTTTGTGGCAGAACAAAAGGAGCAGATGGAGGGGCTGATTCTGGTTTTGTCTTCTCCTTGTATTTTTAGGGCATAGTGATGTTGTAATGGGACTTGTTTCAGTAAACTGTGACGACCTCTACGAAAGGCTCAAGTTCTTACAGAACTGTAAGTAGTCCATGTAGGAAATACCTTAAAATGAATCATATTCCTATTACGAGCTGGTATATTTGAAGCACGTTGCACGCACACAAGTATGAAATCCATCTAAAGGTGTTGCTCAGGCCCTTAGATATGCAGAAGTGGAAATGACAGAAAACAGTAACATAGGTGTAAGAAACCCAAATTCTCCTCCCTGCCTTTCATCCGCACGTAGGGTGAAAGCAAACGCGACAGCTTTCAGCATCCCTCTGGGGCTTCTCTTAATGACACTGGTCTCCACTTCCTAACTCCTAGAAGGCTGCTGAGAGCAGTGTGGGTGGTTCAACGTTGGTTCTCCAGGGCTGGGGATTGGGGGATGACACAGGACACACGTAATTCCTGTAGGATGTCCCATGGCAGTGGGCTTGGGACGTGGCTGGGGGCCTGGGTGCAGCACACAGCAGAGCACCCTGCTCACCAGAGCTGTAGAAAAAGCTGAAATCCTCCTTACAATTCAGACACTGCCCAGGAAGGACGGCTGTAGCCGTGAGAAGGAACGTGCTGTCTCTCAGAAATGGGACTGTATCGGCACCAAGGCTGAGAAAATGGGGGTTTGTGGCAGAACAAAAGGAGCAGATGGAGGGGCTGATTCTGGTTTTGTCTTCTCCTTGTATTTTTAGGGCATAGTGATGTTGTAATGGGACTTGTTTCAGTAAACTGTGACGACCTCTACGAAAGGCTCAAGTTCTTACAGAACTGTAAGTAGTCCATGTAGGAAATACCTTAAAATGAATCATATTCCTATTACGAGCTGGTATATTTGAAGCACGTTGCACACACACAAGTATGAAATCCATCTAAAGATGTTGCTCAGGCCCTTAGATATGCAGAAGTGGAAATGACAGAAAACAGTAACATAGGTGTAAGAAACCCAAATTCTCCTCCCTGCCTTTCATCCGCACGTAGGGTGAAAGCAAACGCGACAGCTTTCAGCATCCCTCTGGGGCTTCTCTTAATGACACTGGTCTCCACTTCCTAACTCCTAGAAGGCTGCTGAGAGCAGTGTGGGTGGTTCAACGTTGGTTCTCCAGGGCTGGGGATTGGGGGAATGGTCTGGTGGTGGGTCCCTGAATGCAGGACACCTCGGGGCTGCCCTTCTCTGTCCCTGCTGTCTCCCCCCAGACCTGTCTCCACGATGTGGCACATCCAGAATGCGTGGGAGGCAGAGCATAGATTTCTGTACACTGTTCTGTCTGCCTCCTGTCTACAACAGGAGGAGGAAAGGCATGTTGTCTAATAAATTTAATTATCTAATAAATTTAATCCTTGAAGGTCCTCAGCTTGTTATTTCAGCTTATTAATTGTCATCCTGTGTGTGCGTGAGTTGAGGAAGACAAATCACACTGGATGTCTTTCCACTGGCCTTGTTCTAACTTTAGAAATGTTGGAAATTAGGACTGTATTTAGCTTAACTTAATAAATAAATCCCTTTGTTTTAAGTGGAATTCTGTTTCGGTTCCTGCAGCTCTGGGAGCTGTCCCGTCTCCCTTTGACTGTTACCTCTGCAATCGTGGTTTGAAGACCCTCCAAATCCGGATGAAACAACATTTCCACAACGGGTTGGCTGTGGCTCGCTTTCTGGAGTCAGATCCCCGGGTGGAGAAGGTCATTTTCCCAGGTAGGCTGGCCAGGCCAGGCCAGGCCCCACCTGGGCCACGGGCTGTCTCTGCAGCTGAGGGTGGGCCTCTTCCCCCTTTGGAGGGATGCTAATTAACTCCCAGCAACTTCTATGAATTCCAGGCTTGCCCTCCCACCCCCAGCACGAGCTGATGAAGCGGCAGTGCACGGGCTGTCCAGGCATGATCACCTTCTACATCAAAGGGAATCTCAAACACGCTACCACCTTCCTCAAGAATCTAAAGGTAAAGGATGGCGAATACGTGCTGCCAGAGAGGGATTTGAGCCTCCTCGGGGTGATAATGGAAGGAAGTGTTTTTCCTTGGGGTGGGGAGAGTCTTTCTCTGGACTTGCAAATGCAAGCTCCTGAAGTCTTTGGGTGTAACCGCCTCTAAATAACAGATTATTTGTAGATGGGAGGCTAATGAGAGGGAAGAAGAGGATGCCTCAGCTCGTTTGAAGTATTTGTTTACACAGCAGGGTGTAGTTCCCCGGGTTAGCCCAGGCACTGCTTCCCCTACAGGGCCTTTTGCAAAAGTACCTGCAGTGCTGGAGAGCAGAGAAGCTGTGGCTGGTGTAATGCTGGTGTAATATTTCCAAATACGCATCAGGAGCAAGACCCAGTGAGAAACAGCATGAATCATGAAGCAAGGAGGGAGTCCCTCACTTTGGAGGGTAGTTGTTTGTTTATTTTACCTGAACCATAGGCTTTGGCTTTTGCAATGTATTAATTCTGCCCCTGCTCTTTAATGTGTCTGCTCGTCTTGATCTCTGCTTAATTTGCTCTTGTGTTTTTGCTGGTTTGTTCTTGGAAAAACAAATCAGTAATAATATACAAAGGTGAATTAGGACTTCCTTCTCCTCCCTATTTTACCTGCCAGCTAATGTCATCAACTGAAAAAGAACTTACTAAAACATGATTTTCCCACAAAATATGCCTTTACATGAGAGAGAGAGCATTTAGTCATGGCACAGGAGATCTCCAGCTCTGACTGGAGCATCAGAGAGTACATTCCAGAAGTAGGCCCTTGGGAGTGTGTTCCCTTCAGCCCTTTGACCCGGGCAGCTATCGGTTTGTCGCTGGGTTGGTACAAAAATAAAGCCATTTTAAACCAGGCTGAGAAGAGGATTCTTTGGTTGATAGGTTTAGTTGTTTTGGTTTATTTAAAGGCGTGAGAAGGAACGTGCTGTCTCTCAGAAATGGGACTGTATCGGCACCAAGGCTGAGAAAATGGGGGTTTGTGGCAGAACAAAAGGAGCAGATGGAGGGGCTGATTCTGGTTTTGTCTTCTCCTTGTATTTTTAGGGCATAGTGATGTTGTAATGGGACTTGTTTCAGTAAACTGTGACGACCTCTACGAAAGGCTCAAGTTCTTACAGAACTGTAAGTAGTCCATGTAGGAAATACCTTAAAATGAATCATATTCCTATTACGAGCTGGTATATTTGAAGCACGTTGCACACACACAAGTATGAAATCCATCTAAAGATGTTGCTCAGGCCCTTAGATATGCAGAAGTGGAAATGACAGAAGAGAAACAGTAACATAGGTGTAAGAAACCCAAATTCTCCTCCCTGCCTTTCATCCGCACGTAGGGTGAAAGCAAACGCGACAGCTTTCAGCATCCCTCTGGGGCTTCTCTTAATGACACTGGTCTCCACTTCAACCCAAATTCTCCTCCCTGCCTTTCATCCGTACGTAGGGTGAAAGCAAACGCGACGGCTTTCAGCATCCCTCTGGGGCTTCTCTCTCAACGAACATTAATGACACTGGTCTCCACTTTCTAACTCCTAGAAGGCTGCTGAGAGCAGTGTGGGTGGTTCAACATTGGTTCTCCAGGGCTGGGGATTGGGGGAATGGTCTGGTGGTGGGTCCCTGAATGCAGAACACCTCGGGGCTGTCCCTGCTGTCTCCCCCCAGACCTGTCTCCACGATGTGGCACATCCAGAATGCGTGGGAGGCAGAGCATAGATTTCTGTGCAGTGTTCTGTCTGCCTCCTGTCTACAACAGGAGGAGGAAAGGCATGTTGTCTAATAAATTTAATTATCTAATAAATTTAATCCTTGAAGGTCCTCAGCTTGTTATTTCAGCTTATTAATTGTCATCCTGTGTGTGCGTGAGTTGAGGAAGACAAATCACACTGGATGTCTTTCCACTGGTCTTGTTCTAACTTTAGAAATGTTGGAAATTAGGACTGTATTTAGCTTAACTTAATAAATAAATCCCTTTGTTTTAAGTGGAATTCTGTTTCGGTTCCTGCAGCTCTGGGAGCTGTCCCGTCTCCCTTTGACTGTTACCTCTGCAATCGTGGTTTGAAGACCCTCCAAATCCGGATGAAACAACATTTCCACAACGGGTTGGCTGTGGCTCGCTTTCTGGAGTCAGATCCCCGGGTGGAGAAGGTCATTTTCCCAGGTAGGCTGGCCAGGCCAGGCCAGGCCCCACCTGGGCCACGGGCTGTCTCTGCAGCTGAGGGTGGGCCTCTTCCCCCTTTGGAGGGATGCTAATTAACTCCCAGCAACTTCTATGAATTCCAGGCTTGCCCTCCCACCCCCAGCACGAGCTGATGAAGCGGCAGTGCACGGGCTGTCCAGGCATGATCACCTTCTACATCAAAGGAAATCTCAAACACGCTACCACCTTCCTCAAGAATCTAAAGGTAAATGATGGCGAATACGTGCTGCCAGAGAGGGATTTGAGCCTCCTCGGGGTGATAATGGAAGGAAGTGTTTTTCCTTGGGGTGGGGAGAGTCTTTCTCTGGACTTGCAAATGCAAGCTCCTGAAGTCTTTGGGTGTAACCGCCTCTAAATAACAGATTATTTGTAGATGGGAGGCTAATGAGAGGGAAGAAGAGGATGCCTCAGCTCGTTTGAAGTATTTGTTTACACAGCAGGGTGTAGTTCCCCGGGTTAGCCCAGGCACTGCTTCCCCTACAGGGCCTTTTGCAAAAATACCTGCAGTGCTGGAGAGCAGAGAAGCTGTGGCTGGTGTAATGCTGGTGTAATATTTCCAAATACACATCAGGAGCAAGACCCAGTGAGAAACAGCATGAATCATGAAGCAAGGAGGGAGTCCCTCACTTTGGAGGGTAGTTGTTTGTTTATTTTACCTGAACCATAGGCTTTGGCTTTTGCAATGTATTAATTCTGCCCCTGCTCTTTAATGTGTCTGCTCGTCTTGATCTCTGCTTAATTTGCTCTTGTGTTTTTGCTGGTTTGTTCTTGGAAAAACAAATCAGTAATAATATACAAAGGTGAATTAGGACTTCCTTCTCCTCCCTATTTTACCTGCCAGCTAATGTCATCAACTGAAAAAGAACTTACTAAAACATGATTTTCCCACAAAATATGCCTTTACATGAGAGAGAGAGCATTTAGTCATGGCACAGGAGATCTCCAGCTCTGACTGGAGCATCAGAGAGTACATTCCAGAAGTAGGCCCTTGGGAGTGTGTTCCCTTCAGCCCTTTGACCCGGGCAGCTATCGGTTTGTCGCTGGGTTGGTACAAAAATAAAGCCATTTTAAACCAGGCTGAGAAGAGGATTCTTTGGTTGATAGGTTTAGTTGTTTTGGTTTATTTAAAGGAAAAAAAAAAAAGCCCATATGAGCAGCCAGGGCTGGAGAGAAATGATGAGGGCAGTAAGTGCATTCACAGCAGAGAGATCATGAATCTGTGTGTGGCTGCCTCTCTAGAGAGCCTTCTTGGCATCCAGGAATATGTGTCTGTAACTCAAGGAGCAGCACTAAAATCCCCCTTAACTAGCAGTCAGCATTTCCCAAACCCCAGCCCTTTTAGGCACTGAGAAATCCAGGCTGGTTGTCAAAATCCTGAGCTGAGACGAGTGACAAAATCTGTTCAGCCTTATGGGAAGAATCTTGAATGTTTGGGTTTTTCTCCATGGAGCCTGCCATTTGCCAGCCTGAAAACTGTGGGCAGTGAGGAGTGATGCTGAAAGCAGAGTAGTTAAGGACAGGATATCATCACTTAAACCTTAACTGAGACATTTGGGCTCTGGGTCTGGCTTTGTTCGAGCAGCCTGCTCTATTGTTTATAGAAAAACATAGGAAAAAAGCCCGCTAAACATTGCTTTTTCCTTAACTCTCTCTTTCTAATCATTCATAACCTTACACTTCTCACGTTTACTTCTGTTCAATTTGCCCCGTAGGTTTTCACACTGGCCGAGAGCCTGGGAGGGTATGAAAGCCTGGCAGAGCATCCGTAAGTCATTCTTCCTCTTAAAAGTCTAAAAAAGCTGCAGAGCTACAAAACTCTTTGCTCTCTTTTGTTGGGAGTTCTAAAACTTCCTAGTACACAAAGCTGAGATATTCACATGGCATTGAGACCCGAGGATAGTATGTTTGTGCAGCACAAACACCCACTGGCTGCTCCAGAAATGAGTGGGACTTTTGGGAACATAAGAATGTCACGATGAAGGAATTTCCAGGCTTCCTGGTTTTGACGAGTGGACTGAGCTGCAGTTTGTTGGGAATTTCCAGGCTTCCTGGTTTTGACGAGTAGACTGAACTGTGATCAGAAATGCAAAAAATGAGTGGATTTGGGTAAAGAGTGTTGAGGGGGTTTGGTGGCAGCATTGAGAGAGCTCTGCCATTCTGCCAGCTCACACAAGAGGGCACGGTCGCTGCGCTCTCCAACCCCGGAAATTTTGTGGGTGTTTTAGAAATACCTAGTTGCTCTGGTCAAGGTTAAAAGGCTAAACCTAGGATTTTTATGGAATGAGGTTATTTTACTTAAATCCAATTTACTTTTCAAAAAGGTAATGGAAAGTTAAGACTAAGCTTATAAGCTAAATGATTTCTGTTGCTCAGGTTAGAATCACAGCAAATGTTAAAACACTCGAGCAGGTGGAAGGCGATTGCTGACTGGTGGAAGTCAGTGGCTGAGCATACAGGGGAAACAGCTTCCTACCTATATCCTCCACACCTGGAGGGAATAAACCCTGCAACGCAAGTGGAACAGTTTGATAAGTGATCTGAGGGGACAGAGGCTTAAAAGAAACCCTGGAGATTTCATACTGGAGATCGTGTCCTGTAGCTATTTCTCCACATGCTTAAAGTAAAGCTTTTAGGAATATTTTTAGCTTCTTTTCTGAAAAAAAAAAAAGTATCTGGAAGGAAAAGGAATATGACTTTTTGTTTCCCCCCTCCTTTTTCATTTCCAGATTAAGTATCTACTTCTTATTCATCGTTTGTAGCTCGGAAATGGTGTATTGCAAGGCTGGGAGATACCAGTCACTGAGTTCTCCACAGGTTGCAGGATTTCTGGAAGCTGATAACAGGGTCTCTTTCCATCTGTGGGTTAACCAGCAGGTAGTAACAAAAGGTGTGAAACCTTGGTGGAACTTCAGGGGATGCTGGCAGGAAACCGATTTATTTACTCTTTACCGATAAAAGTAAACACTTCTTAGAAAAAAGTCTATTTTTTAACTCCAGGGCCATCATGACTCACGCCTCGGTGCCTAAAGAAGATAGAGAAGCTCTTGGAATCAGTGATACATTAATTCGCCTGTCGGTTGGTTTGGAAGATGAAGAAGATTTACTGGAAGACATTGACCAAGCTCTGAAAGCTGCGGTACGTGGGCTGGCACCTTAGTGCCCTCACTCTAAAATAATTCCCCCTGCAGCCCTCTGCCTTTCTCACTGAACTCTCTGCTGGTAATTTTTAAACTACTTAATTTTTAATTTTTAAGCTACTCGTTAGCTGACCTTGCAGTGTGTAGGCTTTTAGAGCTTGCGTTGTTTGGTTTCTCTGTGCAGTGAGGTTTGCAGGACTTCTCAGGCACGAGTTGGATTGACACAGGTTCAGACACAGCAGCTGGGATGTCCCTGCTGTCTGAGCACGGGGGGACACATCAAATTCAGGCTGAGGGGAGACTCACACAGGCATCCAAGTGCTTCCTGTGTGCTTTGGGTCCTTCGTGTCATAGTTTCAGAGAGGGTTGAAGTATATTGAGCTTCAAGAAAATCGTTTCTACTGGGCATTAAGCCTAGTAAGTAATGCTATTTAATTTATAAGCACTGCTTCTTCTCCTCTACCCAAAGTTCTGTAGTTCAACGTGAGCCAGCAACGTGGGCTGGCAGCCCAGAAACCCCCCCACCCTGGGCTGCGTCCCCAGCAGCATGGCCAGCAGGGCCGGGGGGGTTCTGCCCCTCTGCTCTGCTCTGGGGAGACACCCCCAAAACTCTGGGGCCACCACCATCAAAAGGACATGGAGCTGTTGGATGGGACCAGAGGAGAGCCTGGAGATGCTGGGAGGGCTGGAGCCCCTCTGCTGGGAGGGGGGGCTGAGAGAGTTGGGGGGATTCAGCCTGGAGAAGAGAAGGCTCCGGGGAGCCCTTCCAGCCCCTTCCAGTCCCTAAAGAAGGGGGGCTCCAGGAAAGCTGGGGAGGGACTCTGGATGAGGGAGGGGAGCCCTAGGAGGAGGGGGAAGGGTTGGACACTGCAAGAGGGGAGATGGAGCTGAGATGTGGGGAAGAACTTGTTTGGTGGGAGGGTGGTGAGAGCCTGGCCCAGGTTGCCCCAAGAAGCTGTGGCTGCCCCATCCCTGGAGGGGTTCAAGGGCAGGTTGGAGGGGGCTTGGAGCAACCTGGTGTGGTGGGAGGTGTCCCTGCCCAGGGCAGGGGGGGGCACTGGGGGGGCTTTAAGGTCCCTTCCCACCCAAACCATTCTAGGATTTCAGGCAATAGATTAAATTTGTTCTTTTCACGTGGTAATTAATGTGATGCCATATTGTGTCTTTTCTTCTCAAGGCAGGTTTGCTAAAATCCCTGGGGTGTCTGTGTGTTTGTGTCTGACTTCACACATCCGTATGTGCAGGGAGAGGCTGGTTCAATGTCTATTGTCTTCTGGTCCTACCCAGCTTGGTGCTGTGGATGGGCTAATGCTCTGACTGAAGGAATAATGGAGGCTTTGCAAGCTTTTTTTTTTTTAAAATCCCTTTTTTTTTTTTTTCCTGGAAAGGATTAGTCATAGCTGAAAAATATAAAGTGAGGGCACTTGACTTTGAAGCGGTACCTCAGGAGATGGATCTCCTCTGGGAGCTGCAGACCTGCAGTTTGATGTGTGGGTACTTCACAGCAGAACATGCCGTGTCAGACTGTCCCTCCTATTTATCACACTGGGACTTACCAAAAGCATTCCCAATGGCTTTGGTACTTCAATTGCAGATAACCTGTTAGGTGAGTTTCCCAGATGATCCCAGGAAGCAGATCGTGTGAAAGGTCCTTTTTTTTCCCCAGGAGGAAGTCCCTGACCTTCGGCTGTGCCGGAGAATTCCTCTGGATGTGAAATCTCCTGGTGGCTTTAGATCCGAGGGTGTGCTCGAGGCCTGTGAACCAGCTGCCTTAAGCCTACACAGGGACCTCAGCCTTTAATTTTTTCTCTTCTCCAGAGCTTCAATGGAAGACTGAAATCCTTCCAGCCTTCATAAGCATAATTATGTGCTTGGAGGAAGGAGCCTGGAGGTGTGGGGTGGCTGCAAGCAAAGAGCCAGCCAGTCCTTCCAAAGAGCCTTGGGGATCTCAGGGTGCCCATTGCTCCAAGATGCCTACTACTTCTTTGGTTCTTGCTGCAAGTTTTTGCCAATTTCTGTCACAGAAACCTACCCATAAAATTTGTTATTCTGTCTTTAAAACTTTGGGTTCTGTTCCCAAGTGTCCCCTTTGCCTGGTTGTAGAACTTCGCTCCTGGAAAGTCAAAGCCTTTGCCTTAAAAAAGTCTAAATGTGCTCCTGGTCTGTTTGTATCCCTGTGATCACACGTCGCTCCCACACAGCATTGGGCATGGTGCTCCCAGGAGGGAAAACACGTCAGCAGGGCAGCTCTGCCACGCTGTGGGGTGGGCAAGAGGTCAGAGAGGAGGAGAGGAACCAAGGGCTGCAGCGAGGCACATGCTCAAGAGGGGCTTCACCAAGTGTTGGAATCAAGTTTAGTAAATATCCACGCTCAAAATGCACGTTTCCTTCTTTTCTCCTCCCAACCTGTACTTTGGTCTTGCAAGAGCACCATAACTCGTTGGTTTTCTTTTAAGTGGGAATTCTGCAGATTTGGTAGCTCCACAGATGCCGAGGACACATTTCACAGCCTTTGGTGGACCTTGAGTCAGGTCGGAGCCCATGCCCAAGGCAGAACTAGGCTCAGCACTGCCTTCTCCTCTGCCACCTCTGTGTCCATGCATCCCCCAAAGAGATCTGAAAAACAAAGGGGCTTGGAATGGTTTTGTCTGTGAGAGGGAAGACGGGGATATCGGTGGGTAAAGTATAAACTGGAGCCCTGCAGCAGTTGGCACAGAGCTAGTTTGATGTACTCCATGGATGGGAAGCTTTTTCTCCCTCTGTTTTTCTCTCTCTTTCACTTGGTGACAAATTTGCCACCGTAACTGCATGTATTTCCATGTGCCAGCACAGATCATGGGGATAATTTAATCCTAAAATGTATCTTAGTTATGAAAAGAAAAAAAAAAGTGCCTGATTGATATAGGTGTATAACATAATTACCTCTCGTTTTTTCTTCTCTTTGCAGTTTGGAGGCCATAAGCCTTGATGTTTAAGACTGGGACTTGGAACTGGATGCTGAAACGCCTGGAGAAGATGACACGAAAAGCCAAATTGCTCTTGATTTCCCTTTGATTTGCCTTTGAGAATTGCAATCTGTTGGATCCGGTGCTGGATTCGGGGAGTTCTCGCTGTGGTGCCGTCGGGTTTGTCCTGCTGCTGTCTGGCTGTGCGTGGAGCTGTGCTTCCCAGCCCCTGCTCTCCCTGTCCTGCTGGGATCCCTGGGGATTTCTGGGGTCAGACAGTTGGGGTTGAGCCCAGCCATGATGCACGCTCAGGGATATTATCCCCATTTTCTCAGCAGAGATCAGTGGTTCCCCATAGTGGTGCTGCAAAGTTAGGTCAAGAGGATTGGTTTCTGTCGCTGCTCTTCAGGATGCACTGTTAATTTCTCTTAAAATGTCTTAAATTTTCCTAAAATCTCTTCTAATCCAACTTAAAAATTGTTGAATTAACTTAGATTTTTTTTTTTTAATTGGGTTGGAAATGTAGTTAAATGCTTTCTCACCTGTTGCTATTTTATGGAGTATTCAAAACGCAGCGAAATCCAATGCCTGGTAAATAATAGGAACTTCCTAAAGAGGCTCCTTTCCCTTTAAAAAAAAAAAATAATCATGTAATGTTGATTATGGCAATGATTTGGTTTATATTTGGAATAGGAATCATTTTAATTAAAATATGCTTTGAGTTTCCCTGATGTATTACTTGTCTCGACGTTTGCGTATGCTACAGAATCGGGTGATAAAATCACCCTGGATTTGTTTAAATTTTCCTGTAGGAAAATGATCTCATTGATGTTTTTACTTTTGTGGAGAACAAAAGGTGTAAGTTCTGATGTGTCACAATTTATCATGCAAATTGTAATGTTCAGGGGCCTCTGGGTGCTGCTCGTGTGGGGTTTGTGTTGGGAAGAGCCCTGTGAGGTGGCATCTCCTGGGGACAGACCCTCCTGCCCGTTCCCCGCGGTGTGTCTCTGCTGGAGAACCACAGCAAAGGCACAAGTGCTGCAGGTATTTGTTACGAGCCTGACTGCACACATCCTTCTCGGCAAAAGCATTTAACCTGCCCAAACTGCTTGAAAATTTGACTTTTCTGGAGGTGTCGTTTTGTTTCTTTCTCAGATTTGAGAGCTGACGTGAAGTGAGATTTCCCTGGCTGATGAAAAGCTGCCACAGATTACGGTATGGAACACCCTCGGGTGTTGCTGTGGTTTGAGAAACCCACAATTAATTGTTGTTTGGACAATTATTCTCTCCCCTGATGACTCCTCCCCACCTGGGAAAGGGCATCGGGGAAAAACAAGGAAACCCAAGGGTTGAAATATAAGCAGATCTAATTGAATAAGACTAGATAATTAGCATTAATAACCCTAAATAACCATTATTGATCCCGATATCGATATAAAACACCCCAGTTTTCCTAGGCATTGGAAGAGAGTTGGGTCCTGTGTCGCTGACATGGGGTCCTGTGCAGCTGAGGAGGGGGCAGGAGCTGGCAGGGGACACCCCTGGGCAGGGACAACTCTGCTGCTGCTGGAGCAGAATCCAGCCCTGGGGCTCTGTGCAGCCTGAGCATGGGATGGACATGTCTGTATCTTCCCATCTCACCCTCAGAGCAGGGATTCTGAGTCATTTTGGGTTATAATAGGTGAAGGCTTCTGCTTGTTGTAATTCAGATTATGGCTGTGCTTTCCATTCCGGGTCAATACAGCATCTCAGTGAGAAATACAGAGTGCAAAGACCACCCCTTCAACCTGTCTGTTGTGCCTCCTGAGCAGTGAAAAATTACAGATGTTGACACGCAAACGGAGTTGTCCTAATTATCTAGAAGGATTAAATCCTGGGGGAACTGGAGTGGAGGTATGCATGCCCACCCCACACCTCCTGTCCCGCTTTGCGTGGCTGAGTATACCATAAAAGCCCGTGCAAAACAGGTAAGGTGCTACAGGAAAATCAAAATGAGGAGTTTCTGGGATTTTTTGAAAAGGCCACAAGCAGTGAGGGTGTTGTGGTTGCTTTGTGGGAGCTAATAACTCTCCCTGTTCTACTGAAAACCACCTTCTCTTCCATGGTAATCCCTCTCTTAAATTCTCCTGTTTGTCGTTACAATGTTTTTTGACTAAATACCTGACTTAATTTCTCCGTTTCCCAATCCTGATGGTTTTTGTGGCATCTTCCCTAAGAGGGACGCCATGAGCGATGAACATGGGTGGCTTTAGAAAGGACCAGGTGAAGGTGTGCTGGGGACTGGGAGGAACTGGTGGGGGGACAGGAAGGTCCTGGGGACCATGGACACCCTTAGGTGGCAGCGACTGGCTGGGAACCCCCAAATCCCGGCCTGAGCAGGGAGTGAAGGGGTGAAAGGTGGGTGTTTCTCTCCTTCCCAGGGGATCAGGAGCCAGAAGTAATTTCCCCATCATTATTCTTTATTTGTCTGGATAGATCCTTGATGGATGTTTCTGAATTAGATCACAGATGTCAAAATAAGATTTGGCTGCCATGTGGCATCCTGGAGCTGCCGCGCTGGGGAGGAACGGCGGGGTCGGGGGCACGGCGGGGACAAGGGAGCAGTGGTGGTGACAGGCTGGGTCCAGCCCTGAACGACCTGTGCTCTTGGTGTGGCTTGTTTTGATGGACCAGGGCTGAGCAGAGCCCTTCCAGCTCAGGAATTATTTGTCTCCTTGCCATCAACTCACCACATTTTAAGTGTTGCTGCATAAAACACTTTTAGGACCAGGATCCCCTCCCTTCTGCTGCAGGTCTAGCACACAAACGTGAGTGCTCTGTCAGTCACAGCTGCTCTCTTTGCATTGACCACGCGTGAGGACCATCCTCTGAAGGGCCACGAGTTGAGGGGTGGGCAGATTGGCTCTTGTGCTGGGTGAGCTGGCCCTGCCAGGGCCACCGTCCTCTGCAGGCCGGGCAGGGGGACACTTTCAGTGGTGCCCAGGGACAGGACAAGAGGAAATGGGCACAAACTGGAACATAAGAAGTTCCATGTAAACATGAGGAGGAACTTCTTTCCAGTGAGGGTGGCAGAGCCCTGGAAGAGGCTGCCCGGGGAGGTGGTGGAGTCTCCATCTCTGGAGACATTCAAACCCCACCTGGACACGTTCCTGTGGGGACCTGCTCTGGGTGGACCTGCTCTGGCAGGGGGTTGGAGGAGATGATCTCCAGAGGTCCCTTCCAACCCCATAGTATTCTGAGATTCTGGGATTCGAACTTGCTTTGGTGTCTCCCACAGAACGTGCCTGCAGTGGCTTCTCAGCCTGGAGAAGAGGAGGCTGAGGGGAGACCTTCTTGCTCTCTCCAACTCCCTGAAAGGAGGGTGTAGAGAGATGGGGGTCGGTCTCTTCTCCCAAGTCACAGGTGACAGGACTAGAAGAAATGGCCTCAAGTTACACCAGGGGAGGTTCAGGCTGGATATTAGGAAAAATTTTTTCACTGAAAGGGTTCTCAGCCATTGGAATGGGCTGCCCAGGGAGGTGGTTGAGGCACCATCCCTGGAGGTGTTCAAAAGACGGGTTGATGTGGTGCTGGGAGGTATGGTTTAGTGATGATGCTTCTTGTTTGTTGTGTGGGTGTCTATTTTTGTCAGTTAGGTTGACGGTTGGACAAGATGATCTTTGAGGTCCCTTCCAACCTAGAAGATGGATTCTGTGGTTCTGTGTGAGAAGCTCTCCCCATACGAAGTGCATCAGCTGGGCTGGGGACGATGCCTTCGAGTCCACCAAGCCCCTAAATGTGCAGTAGAAGGAGATGCCATTGCCCAGTTCCAACACAGCCCCAGGTCTCCGTGCTGGTGGCCGGTGGTGACAGCAGGGCCTGGTCTGGGAGGCTGCAGGATGGGCCAGTGTCTGTGCTGACACGGAAGGAATGCAGGGGATGGCCTGACGTGCTGGGGATGCAGAGCTGACCCGGCTCTGACAAACAGCCGAGCTCAGTTACAGCAACTTTCCTGTAAGTGAAAAGCTGGAAAAGTTTCTAAGAAGTGCTGTGAGTAATGCCGGGTGGGTCCCGCCTGCCCCATGGCTGGACAGCAAAAAAAGCCCTTCATCAAACGGCTGCCATGGCGACTTGCCGACGAGAGATGCCAGGTCATTAGGGGCTGGCAGCAAAATTTGCAAGCTGACTTGTGGGGCTTTTGATTGGTGTTAGCATAACCTTTTAAAGAAAACATAAACTGGGATTTAGAACAAAGGAAATTGAAGGGCTGGAAATAATATCTCTGAGTTTTAAAAGGACAGTAAGAGAATAAGATACGCAGTAGAAGGAGATGCCATTGCCCAGTTCCAACACAGCCCCAGGTCTCCGTGCTGGTGGCCGGTGGTGACAGCAGGGCCTGGTCTGGGAGGCTGCAGGATGGGCCAGTGTCTGTGCTGACACGGAAGGAATGCAGGGGATGGCCTGACGTGCTGGGGATGCAGAGCTGACCCGGCTCTGACAAACAGCCGAGCTCAGTTACAGCAACTTTCCTGTAAGTGAAAAGCTGGAAAAGTTTCTAAGAAGTGCTGTGAGTAATGCCGGGTGGGTCCCGCCTGCCCCATGGCTGGACAGCAAAAAAAGCCCTTCATCAAACGGCTGCCATGGCGACTTGCCGACGAGAGATGCCAGGTCATTAGGGGCTGGCAGCAAAATTTGCAAGCTGACTTGTGGGGCTTTTGATTGGTGTTAGCATAACCTTTTAAAGAAAACATAAACTGGGATTTAGAACAAAGGAAATTGAAGGGCTGGAAATAATATCTCTGAGTTTTAAAAGGACAGTGAGAGAATAAGATACATAGACTTCATGTGAGTCTCCTCCTCGCTCCTGGCGCTCTCCTTTAGGCGTCTCGTAGCTCAGCAAATACGAGTGAGAGGTTTTATAGAAAAGATGCTGGGATAGGGATCTCCTGCTGCCCAGCGAATACTGACGTGCCCTGAGCAGGGATGCTGTGGTCACTGGGAAAAGCAGGAGTTTTCCACCTCATGATAGAAAGATGAAGGTATTTTTTTGCAAAATGGAGAAGATATTTAAGGCTGGGGACTCCTGGCTCCCCAGGACCCTGCAGCACTGTGTCCTCTCCCAGTTGTGCATGAGAACTGAATCCCTGTCCATCCCTCCCAAGCACGGGTCGCACTCAATTAAAGGTGACGCATCGCTGCCGTGCGGTCCTGCCATTGACAGGAAGAAAAAATAATCCAATTAGCAAAGCTCATTAATTGAGAGCATTTGATCTATTGACAACGAAAATTCAATTTGCCGATCGATGCGCGGTGCTTGAGAGAGTGAATGTGAATTAATGGCTACAGGTATTGATATCTTTTGGAAATCACCGAGGATTCTGCAGTCATTTCCTCTCTTTTAATTAGGGTGGTCAATAGAAATTGCAGGTACGTTTCTTGCGTGTGGAATGCTGAGAAATCTGCCCTTAAAAAACTTTAAAATTGTAAGTCTCCACTAGCGCCTAGAATGACTGAAGAACCTGGAGTGCAAGGCTGGAATTTCATCAGTGTCTTGACTAAATATCAAGGTTATTTGGAGTGAATAAATAAAGCCTGAACAGGTTTTTAGTTGGATGCGACAAGTGGCAGAACTTGAAGCTGCACGAGTGTGGGGTGGGCACAAACCTGTCTCGTTTCTCTCCTCTCTCTGAAAGGGAAAGTAGTGTTAATTTTTTGAATGGAACTGAGTAAAATTTGCGTTTCCCTACTTTTTTGAC